GTTTTTCTCCGGTACCGGGAACCGAACTCACGACCTTGCGCTTGCCAGGCAGGCGCTTTTGCCGCTGAGCTAAATCCCCAGCCCCTTGTGCACATTTCTTAAGAAAGAGTACATTCAAGTGAGTGAGTCATACCCTTTATTTCTCCTTTCAATTTTGTATTTGCTTTGTGTACTTTGTGATGCTGTTGCCATGTGTTATGTTTATAATTGTTATATTTTCCTAATGTATTAACTCTTTCAGCATTAATGAGATGTCCTACTGTATTTATTAATATTCCTGGTAATAAAAATAGTTTGATATTTATATAGCCATTTGCAGCTCTCTCATAGTAGTCATTTGCATCACATTCAACTTATTCATACATTTTAATCTAGTGTCTTTCCTATAGACAATATAAAGTTAGATCTTGTGCCTAAGCTGAGGATATAGCTCAGTGGCACAAGTGCCTGTCTGGCAAGCACAAGGTCCTGAGTTTGATTCCCAGTACCAAAAAAAAAAGAAGTCTATTTTAGTCAGCTTTGCATTACTGTGAGAAAATCAAACAGCTGAGATAATCAACTCCAAAAGAGGAAAGAAGTGGGGCATGGTGGCACAAAGGAGTGATCCCAGCACTGGAGAAGCTGAGGTAGGAGACTTGTAAGTATGAAACCGGCCAAACTACATGGAGAGACCCTATCTCAAAAAAGAAAGAGGTAGGGGGAGAGAAAACAAAACACAGAAGAAAGGTTTATTTTATTTTGGACTACAGTTTTGGAGGTTTCAGTCATGGTGGGTTGGCTATGTTGTTTTTGGCCCTGTGGTAAACTATACATAATTGCAGGGAGATTGTGGCCAAGGAAGCTGCTTATCTCATAGCAGGTGGGAAGCAAGGAGAGAAAGAAAGAGACCAGCATCCCAGAGTACTCTGCAGTTTTCTGTGATAGACTGCCCCCACGGATCTTAGATCTCATACTAGGCCCTATCTTTTAAAATTTCTATTACCTCTCAAAAGCACCAAACTGGAGACCAAGTCTTTATTTAGCACATAGACATTTGGGGGGGGGGCACTCAAGACCCATTGTATTGTACTGTTTGATAATCTTTGTCTTTTGATGGAAGTGTTGCCTTAGCATCTAACATCCCAGGTACATGCCACCAGTGCATGGATTTGTTTCACAACCTTCTCTGTGTCCTGATGGGTATAGAGAATCCAGTCATTAGACCAGCACAGAATTCTGCTTCATTTTTTTTCTACTGAACAACCCTCATTCTCCCACTTGCCTTTCTTTTTATAATGAATGGAAACATATCCACACACATACCCTTCTGTCAGAAGGCCCAGCTGCAGCCAACATCTTACTAAATGATCAAAAATTTTAAAATCAGAAACAAGACAAGGATACCCACTATCACCACTCCAGTTCAATATAGTTCTGGAAACATTAGCAAGAGCAGTTAGACAAGAGAAAAAAATAAAAGGAATATAGATAGGAAAGGAAGAAGTTAAATTATCATTATTTGCTGATGACATGATACTCTGCATAGAAGACGCCAAAACTCTACCAAAAGACTCCTAGTATTAATAACCAAATTTGGCAGCATAGTAGGATACAAAATCAACACTGAAAATCAACAGCACTCCTGTAGATGAATAACAAACTCAGCGAGACAGAAATCAGAGAAACTCCTTTCACCATAGTAACAAGAAAAATGAAATACTAAAAATCAATCTCATCAAGGAAGTGAAAGACCTCTTCACTGAAAACTATAGTAGGCTGAAAAAGGAGATCAAAGACGATACCAGAAAAATGGAAACCTATCCTGTTATTAGATAAGCAGAACCAATATAGTGAATATGGCCATACTTTAAAAATTGTTATATGGATGTAATGCAATCCCAATCAAAATACCAATAGTATAGCTCACAGAACTAGAGAAAACAATTCTAAAATTCATATGGGACCGGAAGAGACCTAGCAATTCTGGGCAACAAGGGTAAGGCAGGAGGCATCACAATACCCAATTTTAAGTTACACTACAAAGTTACCATGATAAAAAGGGCATAGTACTGCCAAAAAAACAGACCCAAAGATCAATGGAACAGAATAGAAAATGAAGAAACAACTCCAAGCACACTCAGCTAACTTATCTTTGAAAAAGGGGCCAAACACCTTCATTGGAAGAAAGACAGCCTGTTCAATAAATAGTACCAGAAAAACTGGCTTTCTCCAAGCCAAAAATTGAACCTAAATCAGTATCTCTCACCATGCACTAAATTAAAGTTGAAATGGATCAAAGATCCACATGTAGAAAAAAAACACATTCTGCTGGCAGATAGGATAGGTAAAACTCTAGAAGATACAGGAATAGGCAAAGATGGAATAAGCAAAGACTTTATGAACAAAACCCTGATCACACAGGAAATATTGCAAAGAATCAACAATTGAGATCACATCAAATTTTAAAACTTTTGCACAACAAAAGAAGCTACTAGCAGAGTAAACAGATACCTCACAGAATGGGAAAAAAATTTTTACCAGCTATTCCACAGACAAAGGACTAACATCTAAAATATATAAAGGATAGGGAGGGTCTCCGGCGCCCAGGAAGCCACTCGGCAGGGAGCGCCGGTCTTCTGGCTGGCTCCCTGCCTTGCAGGCGCCCGGAAGGAAGGCCCCTGGCACCCAGGAAGCCATGGGGT